GCTTTTAAATCGGTAAGACATTGTTGAAATGAAATATAAAAAGACTTAACATAGATTCATTCATCTATTTTATTTTGTGTTAAAAAAATGGACTTAGTGTACTTCAGAAGGCATTATTTTTTTTTTCTAAACGTTCAACAAAGTTATTAATGCCATACAAAATGTTCTGAAAGTTGTTGACGTCAAAGAATTTCTCTGAATCTCAACACTGAAGAAGAAGTTGTCGATAATAATAATAATCAAATCAGTGATCAAAATTAAAGTAAGCAGAAAGAACATGTGAAGAAAAAAATGTGGTTACAAATCTCAAACAGATATTCATCATACATATTATTGTTCAATATGTAGTACTTATTCATTACCTATTTTCACTTAATATGTTAATTATATATAATTAAAAAAGTTAAATTCAAATAATGACGAGTACAGGTTTAAACATTATTTTATATTTAAAATTATCAAATTATTGTTTACTTATTTTAAAACGTGTCTTTTATTGTTTATATTTCTTTCTAGATTAATAAAAATTATTGTCCATTTCTCGGACGTTTCTTATTGTCGGAGAATTAACAATACTTGAAAACTTTGTAATAATATGAATATTAAAGATGTTCGATGCAATAGATTCGAAAAAATAAAATAGCTGTTACATATGTCAAAGCACAAAAAAAAATATCTTTATCTTCATTTAACAAAAATAATGACAAAAGGTTTATCATCTCCTAAATAAACTATCCAGTAAACCAGAAAGTATTGAAAGTTCAAAAATAGGATTGAAAATTATTGAGAAGAATTTATTTATGATGATGCCGAATTCTATTTAATTTTTCTCAAAAATTTTTGATCCTATTTCTGAACTTTTAATATTTTCTTGTTTACTGGGTACACTTTCCTTTGTATTCTTAGATTTGCATTAAAAGCTGACTGTTATACAGTATATGTAACTTTACTCTATTTCTTATAAAAATAGGTATCACGCGCTTTGACTTCAGTTATTGAAAATAAAATATTAACTTACTTTGAGCCGAAAAGAGTAATTCTCTAATTTGTCGAGAAATTCACAGCTTGTATCATTTTTATCATTACCAATAAAAATTATTAAGTGGAAATATCACTCACAATACACATACATACACACGTGCACAGCTAATATCAATTTATCGTGCGCACACGCTATCTTTAAACTTACTCGTGATCCAAATTGCCGATGTCCCATATTTGTATATTTGGAATATTTTTTTTCAATGATTCCATAATCAATTCCATAATCCAATACAGATGGTCTGTACAGTTTTCTTGATTGTAGATTTTGAAATGGCACTTGATCTAAGAAAGTCATTTTATTGAGTATTCCTAAAATTTCAGGGATAGTATATATTAATTCAAGAGTGTATGTAAAACACAAGACATGAAAAAAAGATTATGCTTTTTAATTTAGAATTAAAGTTTTATTTACGTGCAAGAAACAAGAAACAAGAATTTCACTTAAATATATTATATTATAATTTTTAGCATAAATTTTCAAAATATCTTGTAATGTACCTTTTATTCTTCAGTTGTAGTATTTGAATCACTTTCACAGTATCTGTGTCAACCAAATCCTCTGTTGTATTTGTGTCATCTAAGTCTACATTCTTAACTGTTTTTGATTGAGAATCGTTTCTCATCGATTTAAGAATGTAATATGTCCTTATGTAGCAACGAATATTACGATGCTTTAAATCAATGTAGATGTTTAGATAAATATGTTAGGTAAATGAATATTGTAAAAGTAAAAATTTAATTATACCTTTATTAACAGCTATTATACTTGTCTCCGCTGATTTTGGTGGCCAGAATTATCACTGGAATATTTTATTACGTAGAGCTATGTAATACCACGTGAACATATCAATCTCTCGACCATATGGTTTTTGGTGAGAGAAAATATACGAATATGGATTGAATAAAACTGGAAAAAAAACCGAATTTCGGTGTCAAAATATGTGAAAAAATGATGCCATTGTTCAAAAAAGAACAAGCACTGAATAACTTCTGAGCTCGATTAACAAAGCAGCATGGCTGCCCGCTCTCGAAGCTCAAGACAAAGATGCATATGAGTCTATCCAGATAAACTTGCTATAATCGCATAAACATGTGATAAAATTTGGTCCATAAACAGATGCATAAGGAAATGGACTAATCAATTTCCTTATGCATATCTTTATGCGACTATGTAAGTTTGTCCGGATAGGCCCTAACCAATGATTTTGTAAATGAGTGCAATGACAACATAAGAAACATAAGTAAAATTTAATTAGTAAACAAATTAACCAATTACAGTGTAGTATTCTCGAAAACGTAAGATTGATTAGCCAATTTGTTTACCGCTTAAATTTTACTGCTAACGTTTCTATAAGCGCCATGGCCCTCAGCATTTACATGAAATACTTCAGTGATTTTTTTTTGTTTCAGCAGTTGACTATCATATTTCAGTCTTGATGTTGGTAAAATTGACATTAATGTAAATGCACTTTGAAGATTTATCTGCCATTTTCTAGCAAGAAGTTACTAAAACGCATGCGCACCCGCTCCGTGCTCCGTACCCGCCATATTCAAATAAAATTATTCATTTTGCGTTTTAAACAAAACAAAATGTTAGAATATAAATTTAACCAATTATTAATAATGTACAAACGACGTACAAACGATTAAGCACGATAAATTCATAAATTATAGTATACGTGACGTAATTGCGACATAGGGGGGCTAACTATCATTAGCACTGTTATGAAAACTTTGTAATTTTTTTTAAATTAACGAAGAATGTACAAACGATAAAAATCATAGTACATTTATGTACAAACGATGTACAATCCGAATATATAAATGTTTTTACGATTTGCGTTAGGAGGGGGGGGGCGAATTATATAGACCTCCCGTAGGGGGGTTCCACCATCAACAAACTATACACATAGGATGTAGATTCAATCTCGCTTTACGTAGAAATTCGTAAACCCATGTAGAATCTTGTTTTGCGTGAAAAGTCCCAGATAACAAATCGTGCGGGCTCATATTACCTGCACGATGTGAGTATCACACCATATCTGCACAGTGCTATCACTTTGCCTGTACGACGTGATAGGGACATGCGTGCGGGAGCAATAAATCGCACTATGCAGTTTACGCCATGCGCGACTGTGCCTCCTCTCACGACGTGAGTGCTATGCACAGATGTCTATACTAGTACTAGATCGCTAACTTTAGGCTTTGACGTATGGAAAAACTGAGGCTGGCAGGATTTCCGGTTTCGGTCATGACACCCTACAACAAAATGGCCGCTCAACAACTGCTCAACAACTGCTCAGCAACTGCTCAACAACTGCTCAACAACTGCTCAACAACTGCTCAACAACTGCTCAACAACTGCTCGGCATCTTTCAAGAATTTTTACAATATTATCAATTTGTATCACCACGCCGGGTATCACATGTGCATACGCACGTACAGATATAAGGCCATCACACACAAAATGACATAACTGCATATGCATAGCATAAGACCGTCTCGACCAATGAACATGCTATGTAAATCAATATGGCACCTTTATGCTAGATGTTCATTGGTCGAGACGGTCTTATGTTATGCATATGCAGTTATGTCATTTTGTGTGTGAGGGCCTATACACATTACACACGCATTGTCGCCATTTTGTTGTAGGGTGTCATGGCCGAAACCGGAAATCCTGCCGGCCTTTTGACGAAGTTAGCGATCTAGTACTAGTATAGACATCTGTGGTGCTATGTGCCGAGAATTCATTTTATCGCGTCATTCTCATTTCCGCTTAATTCATAAGTGTGCCGTTTTGTGCCTGGTGTACTTAATAGTTATTGCTGCTTTGATTGATTTGTACAAAATATTTGTGACACCGTGGCATTGGACTGACGATTAATTTGCTGTTTTTGGTAAGTACGCATTAGATATAATAAATATTAATATTGTCACATGAAATCTTTGTTATAACCTCACATTTTTATATTGTATTTTTATAGAAAAGTTTGCAAAAGTGTTGCATTTGCTTTTTCGCGGTCGTGGTCAGTCGTGGTTGCCTGTATCTACATATCATATAAGACGAACGACAAGATACCTAAATGTAACTTTGTAGTCAGTGTAGCGTGCCAATGTGTTTCTTGGTTGGTTGTAAGGAAATGCTCCTTATTTATATCACGAGTTGTTTTCGAGTACAGTAATTATCTAAAGTACGTGTTACTTAACGTAAATCTTTATGATATCACATAAATAAATAATTTTACAATAGTGCGGTAAAAACCTCCTGAATAGCGAATTTCCAATTTGTAATCAAACAGAGTAAATACATATAATGAAATATAGTCAGAAATGAATAGCTGT